GTTTTGGGTCTGGAGACACGGGAACTGGTGATGGGAGCTGCTGCGGTGCCTCCATCCCGTGTAAGAGAGATGGGATGGGGACTGGAACTGGGGCTTTGGGTGAGCAGAAACGGGAGAGAAGGGAGGGGTTTGTGCCCTGGGGGCTGCAGGGATTCCAGGGGGCTGGAGATGGGCACCTCCTGCCCTGGGTGATGCCTCACATGCGGCGGTGCTGAGGCTGGGAGGGTGCCAGCTCCCCTCCGGTAATCTGCATCTCCGGTTTAATTTCCCCCCCCCCCACCGCAGGAGTGTTCGGGGGCACAACTGACGCAGGCTGATTTGAAAGCATCCCATTTCCAACTGAAACCCTGCCCTAAACCCCCTAATCCCTGCGCTGGAAGGGATTGCGGGAGCCAGAGGGAGGATAATGCGGGTGTGGGGGGCTCCGCCACCCATCACTGAGTGAATTACAGGGTCCCTGCAGCAAACGGCCCCCAGCCCATCCCCTCGGCCTCCAGCCCCCTCCACCCTTGGTGCCTTTTCACCCCTCCATCATCCCCCCGCTCCTTGCAGCAGGGCCGAGCACCAGGGTTCCCGATCCCAGGCACTGCTGTGGGGGGGATCAGCCGTGTCATGGGGACCGATGGTACCCAGAGGATGCTGCAATGACCGCGGGGTGGTGGCGGTGCCAGGGCAGGGAGATTCCCCCTTCCCCTCCTGCTCTTCCTTTTCCTTCTCCTCCTCCTGCAGGGATTTCTGTGGGAGCTTCCTGCGTTGTCATAGCAGCCGTGGAGCCCCCCCGAGGCTCTGCTGCAGCCGGGCAGGGTGCGATGGGGCTGCGGGGGGACCCAAGGAGGGGACATCCCCGTGTCCCTGTGCCTGCTGCTGGGGCGCACGGCTCTGCGCACACCCGCGCACGCAGCGCAGCCCCTGTCGGCTTTGGGGTGGCCCTGGCTGCTGCCCCCAAGCCAAAGGGGGTCGGTGGTGCCCGGGGCTTGGCAGGATATTGTGGGGCTTTGGTGATTCGGGGTCCAGCACCAGCCATGAGGCCTCGTGTGCTGAGGAGCATCCTCAGATGTGCCCATGCAGCCGGGGTGGCACAGGAGGAGCGCGGACACGGCCGGGGTGCCTGGGACCGTGCCTAAGGAAGGTTGGTGCCCAGCAAGGCAAACGAGGGCGCTGGAATGAGCTGGGAGGGGAGAAGGCAAAGCAAGAGGAGATGAACCAGCAAAGCCTGCCGGGGTCTCCCCAGTACCCTGCAGAGCGCTCCCCATGGACCCCCCCCAAGCTTGTCCCTGTCCCCACAGTGCGCGGGGCCCTGCGGAGGCAGCGGGGCAGGGCCGCAGGGCAGCAGCAGGGGTGCGGGGCTGCAGCGATAGCCACGGATTAAAAGCAAATGCCCAGATAATGAGGCTCTTTGGTAAAAAGCCCATTTGTATCATTTAAATCTCTAACAGGCTTCCTGGAATACAAAGCCCTTTGTGATGCCCGATCTCATCTGGATCAGAGCCGCTCGCTAAAGCTTCCCTTAGCACAGTGAACGTTTCATAACGTGGCTCCATCCCACGTCCCTCTGTCCCCGCATCCCCACGCTGCAGCGCATCCCGCTCACCCCATCAGGCACCCAAGGTCGGGCCTCCGGGGGCACGTATCCTGCTCCCTGCGTTGGCACCTGGATGCGTGCGCTCCGCAGCGCTGGGACACGGAGCTGGGCGCGTTTGGGGTGATTTGGGCACAAGCAGGTCCCCAGCGCTAGGAATGGCCATGGAGGGCAGCGGGGGCACCTTGGTGCCCACTTTTTGGTGCCACCTCCCCAACAACAGCAGCAGGAGCGCAACCCCCTCATGGCTTCCCCACCATGGACATGAGTTGCCAATAGGCCCGGAGCACCGTAGGGCTCCAAGAGCCGTGGTGGGGAGCAGTTCTGCCCCAGCTCATCCTGCCCTGGGTCTGGGGCTGCCGGCACAGGGCGTGCTGAGCTCTGCAGGGCTGGCCGGGGGCTCAGCTCCTCCCTGCTGTGTCCCACCAAGGGGTTGGAGGGCTGAGGAGGTGATGCCAACGTCCCGGGGAGCTCACGGGCCCGTTGATGCGGGAATGGTTTGGGACTGGGGGATGCTGGTGCGGGGGGCGAGGGCAACCAGAGGGGTCTGGACCCAGCCTTGGTCCTTATCCCCCTGCCCTCCCCAGGGACCGGAGGGGTTAAACGGCATCGCCGCTGTCACCCGCACACGGTGAGCCCCGGGCTCCCTCTCGTGGCCTCTCGCCCCATCTCATGCAGTAACCGAGGAGCCAGCGGGGACCCGGGGGGCAGCGGCAGCGGGGGCAGGATCAGGGGGGGCTCAGGGGGCGATGACCCGAGCCGGGGGTGGGGGAGTGGGGGGGACCTGGGGGGGTGGCTCCAAGCCGGGGCCACGATCCCCTGGCGGCCCCCGGGACCCCGAGGTTGGACCCGCGGGGTTAGAGTGGGGAGGGGGGGGGGGCAACCGGGGGTTCCCGGCGGGGAGGGGGGTCCCGGATGCGCCCCCCCCCCCCCCCCCCCCCCCCCCCCGCCGCGCGGGTGTCGGCAGGTGGCAGCAGCGGCCTTCGGCAGCGCCGGGCTGCGGAGCACCGGGACCGGGGATTCGAGACCGCAGCACCCTGCGAGCCCTGCACCCAGCACCCAACACCCAGCACCCTGCAAACCCTGCACCCAACACCCAACACCCAGCACCCAGCACCCAGCACCCTGCAAACCCTGCACCCAGCACCCAGCACCCAGCACCCTGCAAACCCTGCACCCAGCACCCAACACTCAACACCCAGCACCCTGCGAGCCCTGCACCCAGCACCCAGCACCCAGCACCCAACACCCAGCACCCAGCACCCAGCACCCTGCAAACCCTGCACCCAGCACCCAACACCCAGCACCCAACACCCAACACCCAGCACCCAACACCCTGCAAACCCTGCACCCAGCACCCAGCACCCAACACCCAGCACCCAGCACCCAACACCCAACACCCAGGACCCAGCACCCTGCAAACCCTGCACCCAGCACCCAGCACCCAACACCCAGCACCCAGCACCCAAGACCCAAGACCCAACACCCAGCACCCAGCACCCAAGACCCAACACCCAAGACCCAGCACCCAGCACCCAGCACCCAACACCCAGCACCCAGCACCCAGCACCCAACACCCAACACCCAACACCCAGCACCCAGCACCCAGCACCCAACACCCAACACCCAGCACCCAGCACCCTGCGAACCCCGCACCCAGCACCCAACACCCAATACCCAGCACCCAACACCCAGCACCCTGCGAACCCTGCACCCAGCACCCAACACCCAGCACCCAACACCCAATACCCAGCACCCAACACCCAGCACCCTGCGAACCCTGCACCCAGCACCCAACACCCAGCACCTGGCACCCGGCACCCAACACCCAGCACCCAGTACCCTGCGAACCCTGTACCCAGCACCCAACACCCAGCACCCAGCACCCAACACCCAACACCCAAGACCCAACACCCAGCACCCAACACCCAGCACCCAACACTCAATACCCAGCACCCAACACCCAGCACCCAGCACCCAGCACCCAACCCAACACCCAACACCCAGCACCCTGCCAGGCTGGGCCCCTGGCCCCTCATCACCCTCAGCACCCAGACAGCACCCACTGCAACCCCACATCGCCCTGCAGCACCCTGCCATGTGCTTGGCACTCCAGAGCATCCCCTGCACCCTACAGCACCCTCCCCACAGCATCCTGTACCCCTGCCCAGCCCCACACCCTGCGCAGCCCCCGCAGGGACCCCACACTCCAGCCCCTGGCCCAGCTCTGCCCCAGCCCCTTGTGGCCCTGCTTCCTTCTTGCGTGGCCCCTGCAGTGCTCCCTGCAACACACAGGGTCCCCCCCAGGGCACAGGGGCACCCCGAGGGCTTGGGGTGCTGCAGGGAGGTGCAGGCAATGGCCGGGAATGACTACGGCTCTAGGGACCAGGGAGCAGCAGCACAGAGTGCTCCGGATCTGCCAGCATCCCCCTGTCCCATCATCATCCCCTGGGGTCCCCGAGGCCGGAACTGTCCTTACTGTGCGACATCCAAGAGCATCTCCGCACACCACATCCACGTCCCTCACTCCCTGCATGGGAGGCAGCCCAGGCCAAAAAGGGCCCCTTGCAATGAGCCCGTGCCACAGCACTGCTTTAGGGACGGTTTTCTGTGTCACGGGGATGCGCTCTCGGACTTCAGCTCCTGCTGGAGCCCAGCCCAGGACGGGGTCTGGGTGCGAGGAAGGGGCTGGCTGGTGGCATGCGGTGATGTGAGAGGGAAGAGGAGGCACCGGAGAGCCCAAGTGTGTAATTACGGCTCAGTCGGCACAATGGGACACACGATGGGCACTGCGCGACTCCAACAACCCACGAACCGGGGTTAGACCCGCGGCCACCGGCCCATCCCAGAGCATCCAGTGGGGCAGGAGGCCTCGCTGCTGGTGGGGCGCACGGAGGGGCTCTCAGCGGGTCACTGAGCTGGGGAAGCGGCTTCCGTCCCCTGCAGCTTGTGACGGCTGCCGGCTCCATCAGCCTGGAGGCACGGCCGCGGCCGCAGCCACAGCCCGGGGACCCGCAGGGGCTGCAGGGAACCGGCGGTGCAAAGCCACCGGTGCCGCGCTCGGCTGGGACCGGCCCCCGGGGAGGGCTGGACCGGGGCTGGCCCCGATGCGGGAGGGGCGGGACGGGAGAAACTGAGGCAGGGAACGGGGCCGGGCTGAGCGGGGAGCCCGAGCCGCCCCCGTCCCACCGCCCCCGGGGCCGGGGGAGGGACCGGAGCGGGGCTGCCCGGCGCTGCAGCGGGCGGAGCCGGGGCTCGGCGGGGCCGCGCCTGCCCCCGCCTCCCGGTGGAGCCCATTCGTGCTGAACCGAACCGAACCGAACCGAACCGTTCCGAGCCGAGCCGAGCCCAACCGCACCGGGCGGCCCCGGCGGTACCGGCAGCACCGGGCCCCGGCGCTCTCCGCGGTGCTGAACGGCGCCCGCGGGGCCCAAGCCCGGCCCGGAGCGGCGGCCGCGGGGGATGGAGCCGTTCCTGGGCTGCACCGGCGCCGCGCTCCTGCTCTGCTTCAGCTACGCCGGTCTGCGCCCGGTGGAGGCAGGTAAGGGCCGCCGGGCCCCGGGAGGGGGTGCCCGGGGAGGGGGGGGGGGGTCCCGTAGGGAGCAGCGGGAGGAGGCGGGGGCTGAACCGAGGGGACCGAGTCTGGGGCATTCCAGAGGGACCTCGCCGGTAACGGGGTGCGGGAGACTCGGGGGGTTCCGGCCACGCAGCGCCGGGGCGCCGGGAAGCATCAAGCTCCTGCCCCACCGTGTTCCAGCCGCTGGGAAGGCACGCAGGGATGTGACACAAAACGGGGATCTGGGAGACCAACCAGAGCCCCTCTCCCAGCGCGGGCAGCGGGGAGGTGAACACTGTCCTGACCCTGAGCCACGGCACCGGCTCAAGGCACAGGGTGAGCCAGAGCCAAGGAGGCAACCCCAGATCTGCTCTGCCCTCGCCACGGCGCCTTGGCCTTGGTGCCACGCTGCCCAGGGGCCCGGCCAGGCACTGCTGGGGGCACTGGGAGCTCCCCATGGGAGCTGCCTCTCGTGGGGCACAGCAGAGCCCGGGCACCTCAAACCAGGCCCCTTGGAGCTCTGAAGTGGGGATCTTGGGGGAAGCTGTGATTTTGGAGGGCTCGGCACCAGCTCGGGTCCACTCTTCTCCCCTGCGTCAGCCTGGCTGAGCCTTCACCCGAGGGCCCATTGCCTGGGTGCTGGTGGAACCAAGCAGACGCCCAAGGGCTGCCTCCCTCGCTGGCTGCCTGCAAGATGCTGCTGGAACAGCTGCTTTGATTCACAAAACGCTGGTTGCCGGCATATCCGGCATTCCAGGAGCATGGGGGTGACTCTCAGGGATGCAGCGCTCGGGGGAGTGGAAATTCCTGCACCCGGGAGTTGCTGGAGTTACATTTGCCCTCGTCCTGCCTGTGCAGGGCTGCAGCAGCCCCTGGATGCTTTCAGTGCTGTCACACAGGCCCTCGGCCAGCCGTGGGCACCTCAAGTTGCTGTTTCACAACCAGCAGCCCCGGGTTGATTAATGAAACATTCCCCAAAGGAACGTTGGGTGATGAGGACAAGGCGGCGGCACAATGGAGGCCACAGCGCTCCTGGTCTGCTGTGAACTGGGCCATTTCCCTGCTCTTCCTTATCCTTGGATCACCTCAGTCAGCACCGGGGAGTAAACACGGAGTTGTGCACTGCCCATCGCGCCTCCTGCAACAGGAGCAGTGCGGTGTCGGTGAGCACCCATTGCTGCCCTGGCTCGTGGCTATGGCGTGCAGGGGGGATGCAGAGGCTCGGTTCTGGGCTCTGGAGCCGTGTGTGACCTTGGGGCTGGTGCCACTCACCCTCAGCCTCCTCTTCCCACCGCCTCCTCCACCGAGGGCTGTGAAGGGTCCTCCCTGCGCCCTGGCGAGGCAGCGAGCGCGTGCTGTGCCTGGGAAAAGAGAGGGAAAAGAGGAATGAGGACACGGAATGACTTCCCCAAGGTCACGCAGAGGCAGTGGCAGCGTCGCCACCAGCTCTGTGTCCCCAGCTCTACCTGAGGATGCTCCCGCAGAGGTGTGCAAGCCACGAGCCATGGGGAATGCCCTGGAGAGGAAACGGTTCCCGGCAGGGTCCGGTGGGGATGGAGGCTCGGCCACCCCTCCTCTTGCACCCCACACAAGTGGGCTCACAATAACGCCCCTTGTGCGAGGTGAAGGCTGATGGCACCCAGGAGGGGACTGTGGGTCCTGTTTCCTCATCCATGTGCTTGTCCCTTCCTCTGAGCCAGGGGAATGGAGCCCCCCCTGCTCTGGCAGGATGGAAACCAGGAACAAGCAATAGGCCCAAGAAAGCAGCTCTATGGAGGTGGGAAATGGAGCCACACCAGCCCTTTCCTGTCTCGCAGCAGACACAGACATTCCTGGCCACGGACATTCCTGGCCTTAGACATTCCTGGCCAGCTGACAGGCAGCATAAGCACTTTATTGATTCCTGCATTCATTTCAGGAGAGATTTAGTGGGAATGTGGAGGTTCCTCAGCCCGGTGTCAGTCCCTCAGCAGGGATGCTGCTGCTGCGCAAAGCAGCCGAGGTTGTGCCATTCCTCTTCCAAACCTGGAGAGGTCTTCTGCTGGGAATACACATGTGGAAAGCAGATCTCTCCCAGCGAGGGACGTGCTCGCAGGCATTACCCATGCACCGAGCAGTGGAGCGTGCAAAGCTGTATGTGTGCAAGAGAAATGGGATCGTTGGATGCAAGAGCAGAGCTGGGTCGGGACCAGGCAGCAGGCTCCGGGTACCGGGAACTCCAGGGCTCACTGAGAGAGAGCTCTCTCTCGTTTCTCTGATGTGACCCAGTTGGAGAAGAGCCTGAGAAGACCCCAGTACCGAGTCCTCTTGGGCATCCAGGTCCTGGCTCAGTCATGCCCTGGCAATGACTCTGCTTGGGGCTGGCAACGTTAAAACCCAAGTCATGGTGCTGGTGTGACCTGCCTGCCTTCGGGACCCCGGGAGTCCGAGGCTTGGCAGTATGGAATGTCCTCCACAGTAGAAATACTCCTTAGTTCCGCCCTGAAGCGAGCAGGACACACTTCCCAATGGCCAGGCTGGACACATGGACCATGTCTGTGCTCCCTGAACAAGCTCCATCCTCTTTGACAGCATTTTCCAATGCACATTTGGGCACCTGCCCCATGGGGATTTGGCACTGGGGCTCTGGAGGGGTAAGGAGGGTGCTGGTTTATTGATATCCTGTTTGCACAGGGTGGTCAGCAGGGAATAACTGCCTCTTTCCCGGCCTGGAGAGCCACCAGTTGGTCTTTCAGCTCTTTGAAACAGTCAGAGCTTAACAAACAGCCCCATGGTAGTGGGGTGCAGCGGTGGGCCCTGCTTCTTCCCACTCCCTGGCAGGCTCCATCCATTAACACACTCAGGGAAGCTGCAGCCCTTCCTCCATAGCCCATAAAGAGAACAAGGAATTCCATCTGCTGAAGGGAGCTGTGCTGGGAGAGCAAAGAAAGGCTCCAAAAGGCAGCAAAGCCAGGTCTTTTTGTACCCACACCCACCCAGTTCTTCCCAGAGAACATCACACAGGACCTCATGGGATGCTTCTTCCCCTGGCAGGTCGTGCCCTTCCACCTCCCATGTCCGCAGGGAAGGCTGTGGTGCAGAGATGAGGAACTACGGGGATTTAAGGCTGACGTTCCCTGCTTCCCACAGACAAGGCAGGCAGCTTGCACGTTGATAGCACTGAATGAGCATGTTGGAGCCTGGCAGGCCCTCTGCTTGCTGGACCATGTCTGAGGGCTTGGAAGCAGCTGAGCCTTTCCCAGCAGGAAAGGAGTTGCTTGTAGGAGATGAGTGACCTGAACTGGTGAATGCTGTGACTAAAGGTAGCTTTTGCCATGGAGGAAACTGCACTTCCAAGGGGCTGGAGTTTCCAGGAGAGCTGAATTCCAAAGGAACAGTTCTGGGGGCCCTGGCTGGGGAGATCAATCCAGGAATACCCCCTAATTCAAAACCTGCAGCCTGGCCACAGGGCTCGGCTGGCAGAGCTGCTCTCCCAGGGTCTGAGATTTCCATAGCTCCTTCCTTTAGCTCTAAGCAAGGATCTCCTGGCAGCTTGCATGGCTGAGCTCTCAACCCCTGTAAGAGCAGCTTCAGAAGATGAACAGAAAGGAGAAGGACCACGGCAGAGGCCACATCTCCCAGGGATGTCTTTGTGCCTTGATCCTAGAGGTGCCAGGCAGGACAACCCCTTTACTCACCCCACCACCCTCAATCAGCAGCCCCAGTGGGATGGGTACAAACATTCACCCTTCTCCCTCCGCACCCCATCCACAGCCGCGATGGTGAAGGCAGCATAAGGGGCAGGTGGATGGTTTCCTCCTCCTCATGCCAGCAGCTGCTGCGCTGGCAATGAAAAGCCAGGGAGGAACCAAAGTGTGAAGGGTTCTTTTTGCCTCTCTCTTAAATAAAACCCCATTAATAATGAGCAAAGTGTTTAATGAGAGGCTGGAAGGAGTTCTCAGCATTAAGAGGGGATTACGGCTAATCTTCATCGCTCATTCCTCCTTGCTGTGCACTGGCAGCTCTGACCTGCTCGTGCCAGAAGGGCCCAAGGGGGATGCAGGACTGCGGCTCAGCCCACGCAGGGTCCCTGTGGGAAGGAAACCAGACATGGTTTAAGCATGATCAGTTTGGAAGCAGCCTGGAATTCACGTTTAAAACTCATGATTTCATCTTCATTAACCAGGGCTTCCCCTTAGAGCGGGGCTGCAATCTGTGCTGATAGGAGAACAAGAGCAGCTTTTCATCCCAGCACACAGCCCTAAGCCAAACTGGCCAAGCAGATCCTCTGCCTGTTTGCACTGTGCGAGGGGCTCCAGCAGCCACTGCGGCTGGGATGAAGCTGATGCCTCTTACACCACATGGGTCCCTTACAGATCAGACGGAGGATGTGCCGTCCTCAGCATCTCTGGAGGGAACATGCACGAGGAAGGCTCGATGCAAGGCTTGTTCCCTGCTGTCTTGCCTGCAGAGGGGCAGGAATAGCCCCTGGGACCATCCCACCCTCCCTGCCTGGCTTCCCTGGCTGCTGCAGGCACAAAAGCAAAAGTTCCCAGGAGTCACGGATGAGGCTGGACAGAACCAAACACTTGGATTTGGTACCTCAAGGCCCTGCAAGATGCTGACCCCCTGCAGCCAGCTGGAAAACAGGAATTACAGCTTCTCCACCTGCCCTCAGCCAGGCTGGCACTAAGGAAGAGCTGCAAGGGGCCCAAGGAGCCAAAAGCAGTGTGGAATCTCTTGGAAGAGAGGTTGGATTTTAGAAAGCCATGAGCTCATTGTGCATCGCCTGGGAGTGTGTGTGTGTGGGGGGAGCATCCTCATGACTTAAAATTTGGGTTCCAAATTATCCGCTCAGCTCTGGGAGCAGGAAACTGATTTCCCTTTCCCTGGCTTTGTATTCCTCTCAAGCCGTGCTTCGTTCTCCTCTCGGGCTGCTTTTACACTGGTTTGACGCCACTGATCTCACTGTAGCTGCTCCTAACCTGCAGCAGTGAAAGGAACGGCAGGCTCAGATCTGCTGCCCTAGATCTCACTGCACAACTGCTGACTTCAGCCACCCCATCCTCTCTCAGGGGTTACCAAAGGGTGTTTCTAGACCGTACTCTTGACACCCCCTCACCAGCTGATTTCTCCTCAGCCTCCATTCCGAGTCCAGCTTTGCCCAGTGCTTCCCTCCTGCCCCACAGCCCTCCAGCCTCTCCCCAGCTCCCAGAGAGGTTCTTTGCTCTCCTCCAGCCCTGCGAGGCCTTCCCAATTCCCCCTGTGTTTTACATCAGGAAACACCGGGCACTTTTCCTGCTTTGCCTCCCTCAGGGTCACAGGTTTCCAAGGGGACTCGGGCACCAAGGGCAGTGCGATGTCGATGTCGCAGTCCCTTTTGCCAACCTCAAGCTTCTTCCCTGATGCTCTCTGCTGCTGGGGGTTAATGCATCTCTTTAGAAAGGGCTCCCCAACCTGAGCTGGGCAAATCATCAGTGATAGCTCCTAAAAGAAGTGTGTGTGTGTGTGTGTCCAGGAAAGCCATCCATGCTGGGATTTAACGTACAGCGGTACTCACAAAAGGGCAAAGTGCCAGCCTGGAGACTGCTTTGTCTCCCACCTCTCCATCATACCCTCCCTATGTTCCAGCAAATTCATCAGGCATGACTCACGGACCTTCCCTGTCACATTCCTCTCTGCTGGCTGCCCCTTCCTAAAATTAGACCCCACTCTTGTTGCCATTGGTCACAGGGGGAAGGTGAGGAGCTGCAGATCCACGTCTCTTCCTTGCGCCACAGCAGCGAGCTGAGCCCAGCTGGGGCTGGTGTTCAGCCCGAGGAGCGTGCTCCATCTCCCCTGCTCAGCTTGCCCTTGGCCCTGCTGCTGCAGGAGGATGGTGAATGCTCCCACCTTCCAAGAGCCTCGTTTCATGAAGGCCAGCCCCGGAGAGATGAGGATGCTCTGCCTCAATACTGACTCGATCATCTCCAGAGAGGAAGGACACCTCCCCTATTAAACCCTGGAGGCCACAACTGCTTGCTGCTCCTCCTCCCGTCCCAAATCCACCTGAACTTGGCCATGCACCTTTCAGGGAGCTTTTTGTTCACTGAAGGACTCCCTAGGATCAGCCTGGGTCTGGCCACCCAAAGGGTCACTGCTGGGTGGGGGCCTCCCCACAGAGGAGCTCCAAAGGGTCTGGGTGTTGGGTGGGGATGAGAGAAAGGAATAAGGTCATCACTCTGCTGAGTGTGGAGCAGCACTGACCTTGCTGGGGAATTCTGTGCTCCCATTATTCTCTCTGTTCCCAGGGGAACATTCAGCAGGAGTGAAGTCACTTGTTAGGAGACACCGACACTACAGGGTATTTTCAGCCACATTCCAGTGGCTGGGACCGAGTATAAACCCAACAAGTGTTACTGGAGACATGCACACGTGCACCCTGCAGCCCAGCAGGGCAGCCTCGGGCAGGGGTTACGAAGCAATGAAGGCATTATTATTTGATGGAAGTCAGAAGAAATGATTCCTCCTGGCCCTGCTCAACCTCCTGAGCACAGCCAGGGCCTCAGCAGTCTCATTGTGCCTTCGGGTTCAGGGCACAGGGTGGAGAACGTGAATTAGATCTGACCAGAGGAGAGGGAACAGGAGTCCACCCTGCTGCCCTGAGCACTGGAAGGGCTGTGCCAAGCCCGTGAGGTACAACCTTCCCCTTGAGATGCCAGGAAAGGCTTTACACCGGCAGCTCCCTTGGGAAGGAGCTGGCAGCTACCCAGGTCCAGCTTGCAGCTGGAAACTGGGGCATGCTCTGGAGTGAGGAATAAACAGGAGCCTCAAGCTCTCGCTTCCATGGCCTGCCCTCTTCCCATGACAGTGGCCCATGGGTGCTGTCGCTGCCTGTCCTGTCCTGCTCACTGGGAGCACAAAATGCGTATCAAATCTCTTCTGTCAAACAGGGAAAAGCAAATTTACTACTGCTGAATCCCAGGCCTCCGGAGTGCTCATCAAAGCATTCCCTTCCCAGGCTTGCAAGGCACATTTTGCATTTCCTCCCAGCTGTCACTGTCAGGGTGTAATAGGAAACAGCAGAGAGAACGTGGTACGTGGCTGGGAAGGGGGAGATGAATGAGCTGCTCCGTGCCCTGCTCTGCTGTCACACATGTCTAATGCAACCCATACTCTCAGCAGAGAGCTCCTAGAACCTCGCTGCTAGTTGAGACTGCCTTTCCAGATCCATATCCAGCTACAGGAAGAACCCTGAGCCAGGTCCTTTCCCACTGCCTCCCCTGCCCTTGCTCCATCTCCTGCTGCCGTGACTTTGCCTGTGTAAAGGCTCTGCTCTCGCTCCTTGCAGACAGCCCATCAGCTCCAGTAAATGTCACAGTCAAGCACCTGAAAGCCAACTCAGCCGTTGTGACGTGGGATGTTCTGGAAGATGAAGTTGTCATTGGATTTGCAATTTCCCAGCAGGTACGGTGCCTCCAGTTGCCCAGTTTCCGTCACGTCCATCTTCACCCCAGGTACCCTCAGTTTCCAAGTGCTCTTGCTGCAGTTTAAGCCCGTTCCTTCTTGTCCTGTCCCTCGTGGTCTGGGAGGGGACGTGACTCCCTGTCCTCATCGCAGCAGCGCTTCATGTGTTGGTAGCTGCAGAGAGGAACGGGCCCGACGGTCTCCACGTGCGTGGTGGACAGGGCAGGAAGCAGTGGTCTTACAGCAGCAGGGCACAGGGGAGGCCCCTCCATCACCCTCTGCTCTCCTCTCTCGGCTTCCAGAAGAAGGACGTGCGGATGCTGCGCTTCATCCAGGAGGTGAACACCACCACCCGCTCCTGTGCCCTCTGGGACCTAGAGGAGGACACCGAGTACATTGTGCATGTCCAGGCCATCAGCATCCAAGGCCAGAGCCCTGCCAGTGAGCCAGTCCTCTTCAAGACCCCCAGGGAAGCTGAGAAACTAGCCTCTAAAAATAAAGGCAAGTGTGGGTGAGTTCCTGTGTGGCCCCTGGGATGCCCAAGGAGAGCTGGGCTCTGCAGAGAGGGAAGCAGTCCCCTGTGCAGTGGGGATACCCGGGTTCAACGCACAGGGTCCCCACGTGGACATGTGGGGTGCCCGCCCCGAGTGTCCCCAGCAGATAAGGTTGACAAGGAGATGCTGCTGAAGGCTGCCTGCTCATTTCCCCCCTTTCACAGGAGGTTTAACAGGCAAAGAGAGAGGAGAAGGTTTCCAGACTGTGTCCCAGCATCCTTGCAAGTGGAGAATCCCAGGGGAAATTCCTGAGCAGCCTGTGAACGCCTGTGGAACTAGACCCTTGGATGGCACTGGGCACAGCACCACTGTGCTCACAGGGTATTCACTGAGCCTCCCATGCCTGGAGTGCAGGGGAAAACTTACCCAGAGATTCCCACTTGTCTTACTTCAAATATTTAGGCCAAATCAGAGCAAGTTGAGGTTGGAAAGGGCCTCTTGAGGTCACCAAACCCTCCCTGTCCTGTTTGGAACACCTCCATGGGGGAAATCAGGCACTTCCTCTGTGGCAACTCCTTCGCTTGCTCTTCTTAAGCCAAAGCAGATTGATGAATCCTTCTGGCAGCAAGAATCTCTACTGCAGAAAGGGCTGGGACAGGAAGGGTGAGTGCCTGTCCCGGACGACCCAGCCTGTTGCGGAGCTCTTGGTGCTCCCTGGGCTGCTGTGAATTCTTTACTCTTGCTGCTAAAATGACTTGGTGCCTGTTAACACCGAATTGCTGCTCAGCTGAAAGCACCGAGAGGAGCACTGCTCCCCTTTCCCGAGCCTGAGCTCTCCTCTTAGTGCTTTGAAGCCGAGGAGGTGCATTACGCCCTGCCAAAAGGCTCTGCTCATTCCTGAATCCCACTGGAGAACCACGCCAGGCTCCACGCTGCTGAGCTGCACGGGAGCTGCTGAGGCATGTGAGGCTTCAGGACAGGCACAGACGGCACCAACAGACAGCAGAGGCAGAGCAGAGCTGCCACAGGGCCGGATAACAAGGATTTACCCCATAGCAGCTCCTCTCTGGTAACTGCCTGGTGATCCCATCTCCCTGCTCCTTCCTCAGCCCATCGCCTGCAGGAGATGCACTCGCAGCTGATGCTCTGCAAGTTCAGATGAGGGAGAGGAAGGAAAGGAAGGAGAGGAAGGCAACTTGTGCTGTGGCATGACTGAGGGGTGAATGCTCTCTCCCTGCTAGACCCTGATGCACTGATGAGTCGACCTGGGCATCGGAGCACCCTGAGCCCTGTGGTTGGGTTTCATGATCTCTCTTTCCCTTTGTCCAGATGAGGTGACAATGAAGGAGATGGCAAAGAAAAACCAGCAGCTGCGAGCAGGGGAAGTTCTCATCATTGTGGTGGTGCTGTTTATGTGGGCAGGTCAGTGGAATCCTTCTGTCAAAAGCATGAAACATTCCTTGGTTTGCACGTGTAATCATGTAAGACCTGAAAAGGAACCCTTCCTCCCAGCGGCAGCACTGCACGTGCAGCTGTACTGAGCATCCCTCAGCATCACAAGTTGGGCAGGGCCACAAGCAGGTGAATCCGATGTAGTCCAGGGGGATGTAGATAATGGGCCTGATGAACCAACTGCCTAATTCCCCATGGCTAATCCTGTAATCTCCTATCATGCACTGATAACACCCTCAGCCATCCAACAGGCTGCCTCCAGCGATACGCTGTAATGACCTGGCTGTTATATGCCTCCAACTCTCATGCAAAAGAGAAATGTAAGAGTCTCACTCTCAGCACCCACTGTTAGAACCCGCTTCAGGAGCAATTAAAATAATGGAAGCATTGAAAGAACAAACGGCCCCAAACATCAGAACACCAATAAACCAGATCCTCTCGGCAGCCACTATCAAAATACAAAGATTAGGATTTAATGGGAAGAGGAGGGATGTTACCAGAAACACATTAACTGAAAGGAAGGAGAAGTCTATGTAAGCGTGGCGTGGCAGGAGGAGGACGGAACAGCACAAATTGAAAGCTGCTATCCCAAAGGGTGGTTTGGAACCAAACTCTTGGCAATCTTTTGAAATTCCACCCTAGTCCTCCTTATCCCTCGCAGCCATTAATCCTTTAATCCAAGCAGAGCCTCTGCTACAGGACGGAGGCTGCAGGATGTGATTTTATAAGCAAGATCAGCTGCAGCTGAGAGCAGCCGGTGCTGTGGAAGGAGCAGTAAAACCATCCTAGGGCTGCTCTGCTGTGGGATGTGATGGGCATAGCGAGGCATAGACCCTAACCCAGCCTCTACCGGAGCATCCTTGAACATGAAGATCTCTCACTATGACTTTCTGTCATATGTATGAATATATAAACTTCATTTCCAAAGGGAACCCAAAGAGTTTTCCAAGTCTGGGACCACATTTCACTAGAACTTACAGCAACTGGAGAGAGGAACATCTCACTCCTACGTTTTAAGCTAGCAAACAGGGAGAGGAAAATGCCTCTGACTCCTGCTCCACCAGCTTAGCACGTCTGGAGAGGCTGCAGCCAGCCCTTCAGCTTGCTCAGTCTGGAAATTACATGCACGAGTTACTGGGAAATAAAGTTTGCACATGTCTGGTTTCTATTTCGAGCCCCAGCGTCCCCTGGCCGCCAGTCAGCTGCTGCTCCTGCTGCCACCTCAAGCAGTAATGAAACAGCATTTGCTCCCTGCGAGGCACAGAACACAGTGCTCCAGAGAAAATGGGCACCTGTGAGCCAAGGAGACCGGCAGGAAGGGCAATGAGCCCCGTGGTAAATCTCTGATCCATAAAAGACAGCCGGTGCCACTCAGTGCTGAACCCTCTTGTGCCAGTCAAGCCCCTTTTCCACCCACGGAGCGTTATGAACCATCACACAGAGGATTTTCCTCGGGCAGAAACCTGCCACAACAGCACTGAGGGGCTGACAGCTTTGGCAACTTGTATCTCCCCCGGTAGCATCACGTTATGTCCTCTAAAAGGGGGGTCTGTCAATCCCCTGCTGCAGCCTGTCACGAGCCCGACTCGACAGGGGCTGCACCAGTTTACTCCGACAGACACGGCCCATCTGTACCAGATTCTGCTGAGATGAGATAACTGGGGTGAGATGTGAAGAGGAAACCAGTCACTGATCAGAGACGTGTCCCACAAGAGGGGGATGCAGGAATTAACTGTATCCTGTATCCTTTGCAAGGTCTCTTCCAAGCCAATCCAGGTGACACGATCAGATCCATGTATAACATTTGGTTTGCCCTGGCAAGTGCCAAGCTTACGAGTTATTTGCACTTCCAGAGACTGCGCAGCAATTATTGCTCAAGATGATAACCAAATGAAAGCCTAAACTAAGCTAAAAGCTTTCTAGACCCTCTAGTGTCTGTTCTGTTCAGCATTTATGGCAAGTTTTAGTTGTGCACATTCAGATTTAAATGCCCTGCCAGTGAAACCGATCCTGAATAAGCACATGAAGCGACTGAGTAACTGATTCATCTCCCACTGTAGCATCATCTAAAACTCAGATCAATGTCAGAACAAAGCATCTGCTAATACCAGTTTCCCTTCTAGAGAGATGCCTTACATTTAAAAAAGGAAAGTGGGTGGGTGGGGGAAACCTCTCTACATCTGGTGGGCTCTTCCATGTACAAACCCCAAAAGGCTTTAACCTGAATGTATGATGATGATGTTTTAGCAAATGCAGCCAGGAACCAGGCTGTGCCCAGGGCTATGACCTGAGACGAGGCTCTTGTGCTGTACTCCTGGCATTATTCACGGCCCTTTGCTGCTCTGTGCCTCAGTTTTGCCATCGGGAGCCACAGAAGGTGGGACCGTGGCAGACGTTAACCTGCTCTGCCAGGACCAGCCATTTGCTCACACACGCAGAAAGAACTGGAACCACTGTGTTTACCTGGGGGCAGCTGCCACAACAACACGTTCTAAAGCAGTTTGGGCTGATCTGCTGAAAGCTTTACAGATGTTTTGCTGTTAGGGGCAGAAGCAGCATCTGGCTGGGTCTGCGCAACCTCTGCGTTTGGAATCTGCAGGCAGAGAAGTTACTCGGTCAAAATGTCACATCAAAGCTGCTGAGGAAGACATCTGCAGTCTCCTAACGTGGCATGGCTGCTCCTCTCCTCATGTGCCTCTGCGTGTGGGAGGAAATTTCCACTGGCAGCTCCTGCTGCCGTCACTGTTGCATATTTGCAGATGTTGTCCTGCTGCTCCAAGGGCCCTGGCTGCAGCACACGCAGGCAGGTACGGTACCTGCTCCTCGTCCCCAGCCCCAGATCCTCCCCTTCACCCCAGGGGAGGAGGAGCAGAGGACACAGTCTCACTAACCAGAGATTCCAGGAGCTCCTGTGTTTGTAAAGGAAAAAATCCCATTTAACCACACAGCTAGCGGGGATCGCTATCAAAACGTAGGGCTTGAAACGCTCGTCCCATTTAATGACAGGGAAGTTGGAATAGAATTAATCTTCTGTCCTTCTAACTAGTTTAGCATGGAATTAGGTCTCAAGAAGGAAACAGCCAGAGGGCTGACGAGCTCTGTTAGAAAATGATCCTTAGGAGCAGTTGTGAATGATGCTGAGATCTCCACCGGAAGGCACAGAGCCGGCTGGCAAGCAAAGGATCTCTGCTCCCTGCAGGCTCCAGGGGCTGAGCTCATTTGTGTGATCACTAATGCTTCTTCCTGTTAGGGGTGATCGCCCTGTTTTGCAGACAGTACGATATCATCAAAGACAATGAGCCAAATAACAGCAAGGAGAAGGTGAAGAACGCCTCAGAGAACAGCACCCCCGAGCACCAGAGCGGAGGGCTCCTGCGCAGCAAGGTGAGAGGCTGCTGGCACGGGACACAGCACCAGCTTCCTGGCTAAATTACACCAAAAAGCACCCAAACAGCCTCCCTCCAGCTGCGATGCAGAAAGGAAACACCCCTTCACATCCGTGCGTGTCAGCACCACGGCTTCCTTAGCGGTCGGAGCCTCCCAGGCACATCAGGACACTGCACTTCACTCCCACTCCTGGATGTCTGCGCATCCAGCAGGGAAAACAGATTTCAATCCATATTGCTGACATCTCCGGAAGAAACATGCACTGAGCGATGCTGCAGTGCCTGAGCTGCTTGGGTCTGTAACCCTGCAGCAGCCCTTGGGTGCCATGGGGTAAAGAGCAATAGCTCTTAGAACTGATCAGTAGGAGCATGGCTGCTTAAAGGAATGCCACCTCCATAATGAGAGCAGACTCAAGCCTATCCTTTAGATCAACTTACTTCAATTAAACTTCCTTGTGTTTCTATCCCCACCACTTCACATTTACCAGTTGAAATAGTCCACTCATTTATGCCCATTCAGAAGCACAGTGATGAACATGCAACCCTAAAACCTCCACATTGCATTTTCATCATCCTGAGGGGATGGGCACAAGAGCTTTTACAAACCCCAAACCTGACCAGCACACTGCACTGATCTTTGACATGTTTTTTTCCTCCTCTTTAGCAATTCCTATTCATCCTTTCTCCCTTTTTCTCCTCTTCTAGTTTCCAAAAAACAAGCCCTCAGTGAATATCATTGAAGCATGACAGCCTACCATCTGATAGATGGACTCCATTCCTCACTCTCACTTCCTGCCTCTGAGCCTTGATGACTAGGGAGGTGAAACATCATTGGAGCAACATGGAGAGAGACCTTAGTGACTGTCACTTGCTGGCATACACCTCCTTGTCTCTGTTCTGCAAAACATCTGGCCAGAAAGAAAAAAATCATGGGGGAAAAAAAAAAACAACCCACAACCAAAAACCTGAAACCCCAAAATTAAGATGGAAAAGCATCAGCGAGACAACTGCTGCCAGTGATCCCACCCGGAGTCATGAATCACCTGGGCCGGACAACTCACGCACGTCTCTCCACCCTCACACTCCATCTTCTGGAAGAGTGTTCTTGTCTTTGGAAGTACAAGGGTTTGTTGTATCTTTATTTTGTCTCGCTGTCACTACACCTTGACAGCATTGAGGGGAGCTCAGGCATCAGTCACTGTCACGCCAAGCGAGAAAGAAGAAAAGCTCATCACAGACACAATGAGCAACCAGACTGCGGCTGCTGCGTGCTCTTGGCTTGCTTTGTTCCGTGGATGTGTGTTGTGTAGCACGTCTTGCCTGGGGGGGGGGGGGGGGGGTGGTGTAAAACAAACCCAGAAAAAAAAGGCAGATCCCATTTTCATTCCCACTGCAGAGGCTTCCCTGGTGTTCTTCAGTTCAGCTGCAGCGCGTCTCCACCGCTGCTGTCCTTCCTATCTTGCACTGGTGCTCTTCATCTCCCACCATCCGGACACACCGAGCACTGGGGCACAGCCCAACACGAGGGGACACCACCAGACACCAAAAGGATAATGTCAACCATTTTCTTCATGGTATTTTCAGCTGGGCCCAAGTCCACCCCCAGCGTGAGAGAAGGTCCACAAAAATGTAGCCAGTCAGCAAAAAACAAAAGACAAACCTCCTGATACCGGTTGCTATGCAAAGGTCTCCAGTGGCAACAGCCATTTACTGCTAAAGGCTCTTGCCCAAGGGACCTTTTTCTGAGGGCTTAAGTACTTAAATTGCTTCTTTTAGTAGGGTTCCTGTGGGAAGGTCTGGTTCTCCTTACCCGGCCTGTCTGCCCTGCTCCTGTGACACTGCAGTGCAGGGATGTGCTGGAGGCAGCCCTCCAGCAACAGGTGGACAAGGAACGGGAAAGGGGCTGGAGTTCTCTCCTCTCTTACGAAGTGCTCGATGTTTGTAAGCTGACAGGATCCCCAGGACTGCTGGTGCTCCGGACGCTGGTAGAGGCAACTCCATCACATGGGAAAGATTTATTCTTTGTAGTGTGCCATGGGGTATCTGTATTTAATTACTCCACAAGACCACTCCATATGCACTAGGGGATGAGGCAAGAATCTACTTGTTCCATCAGATACCAGGTTGGCCTGAGTAGGGCTCGAACCTCTTACAAACCTGCACTCAGATGAGCCTGGCTTCAAAGGCCCTGCAAAGAAACAGGCTGGCAGGAAGAGTTCAGCCATCTCTCCTCTTCCATTGGCACCAGCCTTTCCAAAAGAGTCGGTTTGAGAGAGGAAGTCTGCGTGCAGACGTGGTGGTGAAGAAGTGAGGGCTTCCCTGATGCCAGCTACCAAAGGCAGGCCAACCCCAAAGGTCTCTTCAGTGGATCCTTTGCCAGAACATACTTGTCCATCACCAAGAGGGAGAGGTCACCACCTCCATCACCAAGAGGGAGAGGTCACCACCTCCGATACAGACAGAGCAATAAGCATTTTATAATGTACAATAAAAGATTAAAGGCATCTCCTGTGTCCTTGTAACGACTGAATTAAGTCATTTCATCTTCGCCTGCTTTGAGCACACACACTGGAACAGAGAGACTTCCAACGTATTGCCCAGAGACTACAGCATGAAGTGTTCTCTCAGTGTCTGGATGTAGAAAACCAGAACCAGAGTTCATTGTTCACAGGCTAAGGGGAGGGGGGGGGAACTTGCTAGGTACAGCTGTAATGCTATTTATGCTGCGAGATTCTTCAGACATGTCTGTTCTCTCCGAAGGAAGAAATGCCATTTAGAATCCATACCCCTATAAAGGGAGATTTAGGACAGATGGTACAGCATGTGCAAAACGATAAGGGAGATGCTCACTCCTTGTTTGGTAGAGAAGAATTAGAGGGTGGTGCAGAGTTGGGTGCTCAAAACACAGTGTGGCAGGAGGCTAGAGGTTATCGTTATGTTCCATAACTGCAGGCTTTAAAAGGCAATAATGCTATTAGTGAGAAGAAACAAATTTAGGCTGGCAGCAACTCATCAGAGAGGGATTCCAACTACCTAATTCCAGTGATTCTCTTAAAGGAAGTGTTTTTATCAACTCTGAATTGATGCAATAAGTCCACACTTTAGGAAAAGCTGTTTCCTGTTACAGAAGAAAGCTCCTTAAGATCCTACTTCTTTGAGGGTCACAAACATCAAAGCTTTAACTGCTGCTTCAGCATCAGCTTCCACCATAACCCATGAGTCAGGCACCATGAAGACTCTGGGCCTGTGTGAGCTTCAGCCTAAGCCCATCTTTGGCAGAGATACCTCACTCTTGTCAAAGGTTACCAAAAGATACTCCCAAGGTGGTTTACAGGCAATAAAGAGATCAAGGGAAAACCAAACAAGGCGGTGCTGAGCAAAGGGATGCTGGGCCACAGAAGGCAGCACCCTAAAGGCCACCCACATTTCCCCGCTGATTCTGAGTGTTTGTTGGAAGTAGGAGCCGGGAAAGGGAGGTTTCAGGAAGTGCTAAAAAGCAGCAGCAGGAGTGGGCTGCACAACAGGGATCCCGGAGAGCAAGAACTGGTTCCCCACTGATCTCAAAAGCAAAGGAAAGCAACCTTCCAGCCAGGCCCCTAATGCCATTCCACCCCTGGGCACTAACCCCATCCATTTCCAAGAATCAGCTGAGCAGGGGCTGTGGGAACAGTAAGGAGCAAGAAGCTGCAAACAGAGCCCTTTGCCAGCATACGCAGTGCGTGTTTAAAGCTAAGCACCACTTGCCTTCATCCTTCCAAGCACTGTAATATTATGCCTAAAAGTACCACTGAGCCAATATATTCCTCCCCCACGAGTTTAGTGAGAGGGAGCTGCGGGAGGTGGTGTGGAGCAAACAATTCTGCCCAGCATGTCCTTCCCCTTCCCAACACAGCCTCAGCCCCTTCACAACCACCTCCCCCTGCACCGTTCTCCATCTCCTCCAAGGCAAATGAGAACAAGAGGCATTTTATTCCCCGACAGCTCAATAGCATCAGAGGAGGAAACACCTACACAGCTACAGAAAGTGTTAGTATAATCTCAGCTGGTAATGGCTTTCTGGAGGAGATGCAAATGGAGAGGAACAGACTGCTAATGCCAGTATTTGCCAAAGACATTAAAGGTTACATCCCTCAAAAGCATATATCACAGCTGCACATCCATTCTGCTGATAAAAATATGGCAATTCATTGACGGAGTAGCCAGACTCCACTTCTCCAGGAGATGGGGATTGTACCATATGTTGCACCAAATGTAATTTCCCCCATATTTGCAGGAAAGCTTCCTAAAGGCACATTATAAGCTATTACTGGCTAGCCTGGAAGCAGAAGCCTTGCTGACCAAATTTAATCAGCTTTCCAGCATTTGTTAAAAAGCTGGATCATCAACATGCTTGTTATGCTGCAATATCTTCTGTTTCCTCCATAAATCTGGTGTCTATTAAATCATCTGATGACCTGATAGATTCAAATGATTACGTTCCTCCTTGTTGGTGCTTTAGTTCACACGTCTCAAGGAGTGTGAGCTGGATTCTGTCAGCCCATGCATCAGCATCAATTTGAACTCGCTTCCAAGTGAAGACTCTTTTATTATTAGCAACAGAGCCAGGAAAGACACAGCTTGAATATTAGGTCCCAGATGGAGTCAAAGTTGGCAGGCGGAAAAGCCAGCTTTCTGCTTCCAATCTGAACACACTCAATGCAGAGCCATTGAGTGGCAATAAGGACAAAGCCCCACGATGCCATTTGACACTTTGCAGCGCATTGTTGTCCTTTTTAACTGACAAATACCCCCACACAGTGCCACCAACTGCTGACTAGAACCTATTTATACCATCCAGACCTGTTTTGCAGAGGATACAGCCAGCACATTACGAGACACCCTCTCAACCCAAAGGAATATTATCAGCTTCCACTATTTCACACTTCAGGACATAGTTTCTTCCTCCTGTTCAGAGTTCCCTCGCAGCACAAGCACAGGGAAGAGTTGGCCAGCTTTGAGAGAATGGCAGTAGTATAATTTTAGTCTCATTGTTTCTAGCTGCTGTTTCAGGCTGTGATAGTGATGGATGCTGTTATATTTTTAATTGGAAGACATTTCATCCCAGAGCTCACACAGAGCTTGCACAAAACAGACCTGATATTGCTGGATTCTACTACAGCAAAGATCATAAACAGCCTCTGGCTACACTCGGGCAGAAAACGTGCAGTACGTCCTTCCACAAAGGCTGAATACACAATCTCCCCCTCCCCATGCAGTATCTCATCTCCACCATTCAGCATATACAAATCACAGTTGCAATGCCAAAGAATGAAATCCTCAGCAATGAGACTGCCCAAAGCCTAAAGCCTTTGCAAAGAGCTGCTCCACAGCACTGTTCATTCATGTGAGAGATTTACATTCACAAGCCCACAAAAAGCTCTGGAGGAGGCACCAGCTTCTGCCCAAGGTCCTGTGGCACAAAGGAGCTGGTCTGGGCCACAGCACACGTCGACACCAGCATCTTGCTGTCCCAGTAAGGTGCTGCTGTTCAGAGTAATTGCATTTGCTCAGTATGGCTGAACTGGCAGCAGAAGGCATGCCTTAAGAGGAGGCTAATATAAATACCATCCTGAGTGCTGTGCATCTCTTAGTAATAATCTCATAAAGAGCCATGTAACAAAATCAAGACAGCCAGCATGGAAACCTCCAGATGCTTAAAGGCAACACCTCAGCATGCACAGCAAAGGCAGCAGATTGCCTGCGGCCTTCCTGCTGCTCTGCTCCTCTTCTATTCCATCACTGCTGATCAGCAGTGCCCATCGATCACCGGTTGAGACAGAGCTGTGCTGTCCCAGCAGTGTGTTGAGTTACTTCTGGGCCTTCCAAGAGACAGTCTATTAGTGGTTTAATATCAGATAATAAACCCTCCAGCAGGCAAGCTCATCTGCTTTGCAAGGAGAGGGAGAACAGGCTCTGCACTCAGACTCCTGCTGCCCCATCTCACCTCAAAGCGCCTGCAACAAGGAGATGTGAAGCAAACATCTTCATTCCACACGTTAGGAGGAGCTGGACTTTACAGACACAACATTGGCAGCATGTGAAACTGCCCTTAGAACAAGGAAATGAGTCTTTTTTCAGAGGGGCCTCTTCAACTTACTGTGTGCGATTCACTGGTTTAAAAGCCAACAGCCACTATGTGCTCATAACCCCCGCACTTGTCAACCGATGTCACCTTCTCTTTCACTACCAGGCTCTCTGCAAACAAAGCCTCCTGTGCTAGAAGTCACTACACCAGCATTAAGAACATGATACTAACTAGGAAAGATCAGTTATTGACAACAA